AGCAGCTCCCAGTAGGTTTGGAGGAAATGAACAAAAAGTGAAATTCAGAAACTTTAATCTTGTGGAAAAAATTTCCATTTGATTGTTTCACAAATCACCATGACGACAGACTCTGTAATAGACCCATGTGTCTAACTCCTGGTTCTAAAACATTTTGCTTCTATCACTAGTTTTCTCATCATGTATTTATAGCCTTTGGTTTGATTCTCTGATCTGTGTTGGCAAATCAACAACTTTGTAAAGTCCTCTGAGACGACTGCTTTTGTGATTTAGGGCGATACACCATAAATTGAGTTGAATCGATCACCTTTTCAGACAGAAAAGTAACAAAGTGAGGACCCCCTCACTCCAGCCAATCAGCTCTCAGCCCAAGGAGTCAAATAGTGACTCACAGGGCTCTTTCTTACTCATGTTCTCTGATGAATACAGTAGGCTGTGACTGATTTGTTCATGTTTGAATCCAAAACCAGCCCCTTGGTGAAAATGGGCTTCAACTGCCATAGAATGTTGGTTGCAAAGCGACCATTCATTTCATTATAAAAAATATTGAAATGAACGGTGCAGTCAAAATGACTGCTCTGGAAGCTATAGGTAAAACTCGTCACAAAATAATGACATTTAAACTGACATAGAAATAAACTGCATAAACAGAATAAAAGTTATGAAGACCACAAAGTAAAAGCCATCAAATTGACTGCTCTGGCAGTTCAAGTGTTAAACACTGTGACTGCTGCAGCATTTGACCCTGAAACACCCCATTAGCGTTAGCCAGAGATGCTAACGACGTAATTCACACCAATAGTTTGTTGTGAAGCTGATGAAGTGATAAAGTGACAGTCGAACACTGGTGAAAGTTTGAAGACCCAAGAAGGTGTTCATGTAACCTCCCCTTTAAGGAACTTTATTAACACCTCACTCTATTCAAGAACTTTGACCTCATTCACATGTCTGGACTCTGTGTGAGGCTGAGGCCCAGTAGATTTGGCTTCTGCCGACTGGTGGACCAGTCTGTGATCCTGGTGTTTACATTGTGATATTATCTTGTAAATCCAGATATGTCAGTCCGCTCCAAACACAGACTCTATGGCTCACAGACTGTAGATCAGGGAGTTCCAAAATGCAGCCCGCGGAAATTCTATTTTTTTGGAAATTCTTACTTTTGGCCTATTGCATTGCAAAGCCTATTCCCCGCCGACCTATGCCAGCCAAGCCAGCGGCTTAAAAGAGGAAATACCACAGCTCTCTCAAGCCTCACAACCACCGCCTCCCCGCCTCCTCCTCTTCTTCGAGCTCACACTCTCTCCCCTGCTTGCCTGGATGCAACCACCAGTAACCAGGAACCGGGGATCGTAAGCGCGCACAATCAGGCGCTTCACAGACCAAGTGCCGCTACCAGGGCCTAGGGTGCCAAACAATCAATAAATAAAACCTTCAAATGCATTTTGTGTCTTGTAGTCTGAATTGTTTGTAGAGAGCACCCGATGTGTCCAGAAGTCAAAAGCACAGATTGTAAAATTGTGTTCAGCTCTTCAACACAGAGGATGACATGATGTCTAGAGAGATTCACATTTGACCGAAGGGAAGTTCACTGTATTTACTGAAGTAGTACAGAAGTGTGACACTATCGAAAACAAATTACTCTGACGGAGATGAAGTTGGCTGGATGACACTGTGTTAATGATCTAAATGCCAGAGGGTCACATGACATGACACAGACGGCCGTGATTGGCCCGCAAGCCTTAGTTTGGTCACACGTGCTGCAGTATGATAAACTGTGAACCTTTCACAGCTGACGAACATGAAAATAAAAACATTGAAAAAATGTTTAGGAGCTGGAATAAAAGCTGATGTTTACATTGTGATCTGGGGGAATCCTGAGGCCAGCTGAGAAACAGTCCCTCTGTGTCCTGGGTCTTCTCCTAGTCTCCTCCCGGTGAGACGTGTCCAGAACACCTCCCCAGAGAGGCGTCCAGGAGGCATCCCAAACAGATGCCGAACCCACTTCAACTGCCTCCTTTGTGCAAGCTGTAGTTCTGTCTCTGAGGACGAGCTGTTTTAATGAACACTGAGGTCTGTGGGGGAGTGTCCTTACAGTCCATGTGATTTAGGCTGCAGTACCACAGGTGGCCTCTAGTCCATGTATAGATAGGTTTAATTTCACACATGTATAAAGCAGACAGCTGCTGCGGAACACAACAGGAGAGATCTGGACCTCAGTCTGCTCCTGTTGCTCAAGTATCAGAATCAAATGCAGAGTTTTAAAATCACCCTCTGAGCTCTGTGCCACTCTGTTTCAAAACCTCATGACTTTTGCCCTGATTCCAGCCGCTCTCACAAATCCAAAATGGAACAAAGACAATAAAAGTCCAAACCCAGAGCCCAGACTGGAGCCAAGTGTCCCATAATGCGCTGTAGTGAGGAATGCACCAGCAACATTAGTCTGAACAAATCTGTGTTCTGTCCCATAAACCAGCGGCCCCCAACCTTTTCAGCCAAAGACGGCTTTAAAGCCACCCTGTGTAATATTTACAGCTGCTCCATATGCAAAAACATGTTAACTAATAACAAATGTGACCTACAGTATATAAGAATATTTACCTCCACCATGTTTTTTGAATTGTATTCATAGGCTTAGAATTTAACTTATAAACGTCCATGAGAGTGCTCTCCATGTAAACGCGCCATCTTGAAAAACAGCGGTGGATAAGGGACAAAAAGGATGCGAGAATCGGTTTTTGTTTCACAAGAGCTACTGATATTGTTGCTCTCACCGTGCCTTCACAAGTTGGAAGAAGGAACCATGAAGGACCACAATTATGTAAAAGAACCATGGAGGACCACAGTTATGTAAAAGAACGATCAAAACAACAATCTTATAGAAAAATAATAATGCAAAAGTCCAGCGTCACAGCAGCAAAGTGTTAACATCGTAAACCACACGCACAAAGACAGCGTTAACACAACAGGAGGCACATCGTGTAGTTGGTACACAACAGACTCACACGTGAACAATACGTAACTTTTTCACACTGACAAGGCAGAATCTACAACACAGTACAACTAAACTTATTCAGGGACAAAGCCTCAAATAAAAACACACACAGAATCCCCACAAAACAATCACCAGAATACTTTATCAGCAGCGTGAGTGAATGTTCTGTTTTTCTTACCGTGATGCAGATAGGGCGCTGTGGCTAATGCTAATGCTAGCATGAGCTTTGCCATGTTGTTAAGGTATGTTCATTTTGTCCTCAGTTGTATATGTGAATGTTATGTTATATGCTTGTTATGCCACAAGGAGGCGCTGAGGTGCAGGTTGACGCATCGCGTCATGTTCTAGTGATCTTACCGTAGTTCAATTTAGCTTTAGTAGCTGTATGACCGCGAGACTGATGTGTCTGCAGTGAATGAATAAATACGCCATAAGGCTGAAGATGGCTCAACTCAGTTGAACGTTAACTGCAACATTGAGGCATAACTCAACACATGTTCTACCGTGGCTTTGTATATCTCCTGCTTCTCTGATCATTGTAGTTTTAAGCTCCCACAGACGTTAATCCTCCATGCGTCTATTCTCTTCACACCGCGTTTGTAAAACTATATATTATAATAGATCCATGATAAACCTCAGTAGAGCCTCTGTGCAGCGGGTGCAGCTTCATGCGGTCTTGTTTACATGTCGCCTCCATGTCAAGTGCCCGAGACATTTGGAGAGATCCGGTTATTTATCAAACTAAAGTATTCTTTCCTTGGCAGTCTGGTGAAGGTGCTATGGGAGCCTTCGAGTTACAGTGCTCCTCAACTGGACTGACAATGTGCTTTTTGATGGCAATACAAGTACAGTGAGCTCTAAAAAATGCATAACATCATTGTATTTAAAAAAAGATACAGTGTCTTACAAATCACATTTCCAGGAATATACAAGGACACGCCTCCTGCTGGAACTCTGAGGAGCACAGGGACAAGCCTCTTGCTGGGACTCTGAGGAGCACAGAGACTGTCACCACAGCTGCAGGTTAAGCCGTAGACTCCTTAGAAACATGAATACTAAAGGGTGTGGTCAGCGCTATGACCATCATGTTATCACAACAGCTCTACACATCTAGAGACTGAAGGTTAACAAATAACTCTCAGAGAGTATTTTTGAACAGCGTGCTGTTCTAACCATAGAGCCAATGTTAGCGGTGCACTGACCGAGTGTGACATCACCATAGCGTTAGCCTTAATGTGGAACATGGCGATATGAACATAAACTAGCTTGAGCCAATCTCCTTTTACAGGCATTTGCTCTGATAGCATTAGCGTCCCACTGAAACAGCGGCAGACGTGTTGCTAAGACGGTTGCTAAGGCAAACAGGAGTTTCCGCCACCAATGAAGGCATCTGATTGGTCAATACTTTAGGGCTTATAAACAACATGAACACCAGGATCACAGATTTAAACTGGGAAAAGTGAGAAGTGAGTGTGACACAAGCGGTTACTGAGCTAGAAGAGTTTACTTTTCCATGTAAGGAGCCAGTGCAAGTTGGAGCAAAGCCTTATCCATGAGCACGTCCCTATCAAGCTTCATTGAGCTAGATAGTTAGCATTGTCTATCTGTATAATCTATTATTCTAACACATGAAAAGGTTTTAAACCAATCCATTGTACGTGATCAAATGTGCAGATGTTTAAGTGTTTGTGTATAGTACTTTTGCAAACCCTGATATTTGGCTGCACCTCCATCCCACAGATCTCATTAAAGCCAAAGGAACACAAATCACTAAAACATGAAGAAGAAATTACTACAAGGACAGTTCCTGAGGACAAGACATTTTGGCTCTGATGAACTAGAATAGGACATTTGAATAATGAAAACACAGTCCAAAATTGCTGATTCATTCCCAGTTCATCACATTTGAATCCATCCAACTTTGTCTCATCACCAATATTCACATCGAGTTTGGCCACCAACCCCAAAGAGGCGTATAGTGACTCCCACAGCTGAAGAGCTCACTCACCTTGTCCCTGGGAGCAGTGGGGCAGTGCACACAGCACCAGCAGTGTCAGCAGTCGGAACAGCAGGTCCATGTCTCCAGCTGAAGACAGAGAAGAACAAGGATTCATCAGTGGAACTATTTACAACGGAAGGTTTGGACAGAAGGGATGGGGAGATGATATAGTGGGTGGAGCAAAAAACAATCCCTCTCGTCCTCTGGTCTCTCCCTGGTCTCTCGCTCTCTGGTCTCTCTCTGGTCTCTCTCTGGTCCCTCTGTGGTCTCGGTCTCTGATCTTGCTCTCTGGTCTATCTCTGATCTCACTCTCTCTGGTCTTGCTATCTGGTCATGCTCTCTGGTATCGCTACCCTGGTCTCTCTGTGGTCTCACTTTCATGATCTTGCTCTCTGGTCTCTCTGGTCTCTCCCTGGTCTCTCTCTCTAGTCCCTCTCTGGTCTTCCTTCGATATTTCTCAGGTCTCCCTCCGATATGTCTTTGATCTCTCCCTGGTCTCTCTCTCTGGTCTCTCTCTGATCTCTCCCTGGTCTCTCTCTCTGGTCTCTCCCTGGTCTCTTTCTCCCTGTTCTCTCTCTCTCTCGGGTCTTTCTCCCGTGTCTCTCTCTCCTCTATTGTGTCTCTCTGGTCTCTCTTCCTGGTCTCTCTCTCCAGTTTCTCTCCCTGGACTCTCTCCCCTCTCGTGTCTCTCTTTTTTCTGGTCTCTCTCTGGTCTCCATCCAATATATCTCTGGTCTCCCCCTGATATCTCTCTGGTCTCCCTCTCTCAAGCGAGAGCAGTTTACTTTTACATGTACAGTAGGTCAATAGGAGCCAGAGCATTGTCCCTCTATATAACCCCCTCCCATGGATCTATAATAATATCTGGATAGGATATTACTTGCTTATAGGTGTCCCATCAATGGCCACAGGGGGCGCCAGTGATACTACAGACACATTGTAATGTAATTGTAAAGAGGAAGGTATTTCATACATTGTCATATCAACCTATTGCTATTTGCTACATTTGTATTTTAAATTGTCACATTTGACATGTAAAATAAAAATAAAATGCAGCCCGTGGAAATTCAATCTTTGGTAGCTACCCGCTGCAGCCCATCCCATCCAGGCCGGCCCTCTCACCCTCGGCTGATCGCATTGCAAAACTTATTCCCCGCCGACCTATGCCAGCCAAGCCAGCCGTTTAAAAGCGGAAACTGCTATAACATCGCCCTCTCAAGCCTCGCAACCACCGCCTCCCCGCCTCAAATTGACATTGGGAAAAAAAAAAAAAGCAGACTGAGCTTGGCTCATGTTCTGTTTTTAATGTTTCTGTTTATTTGTGTGTGTCTGTCTGTGTCTGCTTGTCTGTGTCTGTCTGTTGTGTTTATATCTGTCTGTGTCCATCTGTCCTTACTCGCTCCTACTCTCTAATTTTGTATCAAATAGTAAATGATAGATACAGCTAAGAGTCTGAAAATTATTCATCTGAACATAAGGAGTATTATCTCCAAAATTGAATCTTTTAGACTATAGTCCAACAATATAGAACTTGTATCATTACCATATCGTAGACAGGGCTCCACAGTAACCTTCTGGACAATGTTTTGTATCGAGCAGATCGAGGTTCAAGAGGAGGCGGGGTAGCAATATATGTATCCACCAACTTAAAGCTGCACTAACTCATTTTGTGAAATTTTTGAATGTGAGCACTGGCCTCGCTCTTTCTGCTCGCCCTCCCCGCACTCACGGAGCTATCGCCGAAATTCAAGCATTTTCCCGACTTTCAAGGATCTGTACGAACCCTCATAAATGCACTGATGACAGTTATTTATGCATCTGTTCCAGAGCCAGTGGCAGTTTGACTTTAAATCAGTCTAAAAGTGGCTTCACAATAACAGATTAAAGGTGCAGCAAAGGATTCATGTTAGCAGAGTCAAAACCACTCCCCCCCTGCCCTCCACTCAACTGCCAGCACACATGAACGCTGTTCCTCCCATCTTGAAATCTGAAAACGTCTCACAAAATTAGGGCTCAAGTTTGTGAGGGATTTGTCCGCCATACTTGACAAGCACTAGCTTTCCCTAACAAACAAGCAATTAGCAAAACCAGAATGCCGTCGCATTACATAGCCCTGGCTGCATCCCGAGTCTTCTTATACAATGCCTTTTTCCTCATCTGATTTTCTATTCTTTGCCACAACAGGGCGACTGGGTGGTTCCTCTCAACGTTGAGAAGCAGCGGCTCTATTTAGAGCTCCTCCCGTGTGACTGATCTCCTCACCCTATCTCTAAGGGAGCGCCCAGCCACTCTGCGGAGGAAGCTCATTCCGACTGCTCTAATCTGTGATCTTGTTCTTTCGGTCATTACCCAAAGCTCATGACCATAGGTGAGGGAGGGAACAAAGGTAAATTGAGAGCTTTGTCTTTCGGCTCAGCTCCCTCTTTACCACAACGGTTCATTATAGCGACCGCATCACTGCGCACGCTGCACCGATCCGTCTGTCAATCTCACGCTCCATCCTTCCCTCACTCGTGAACAAGACACTGTGATACTTGAACTCCTCCACTTGAGGAAGGACCTCTCCGCCCACCTGGAGAGGGCAAGGCACCTTTTTCCGGTCGAGCACCATGGCCTCAGATTTGGCTGATTCTAATCCCAGCCGCTTCACACTCGGCTGAAAACCATCCCAGTGCATGTTTGTTGGAGTAAACAGGACAACATTGTCAGCAAATAGCAGAAATTAAATCCTGTGGTCTCCAAACCAGACCCCCTCCTGCGCCTTGAAATTCTGTCCATAAATACAGTGAACAGAACCGATGACAAAGGGCAGCCTTGGTGGAGGCCAACATGCACCGGGAACGCAGCTCTGGCTCCGGTCATACAGGGATCGGACGGCCCTCAGCAGAAGACTCTTATCCCGTACTCCTAGAGAACTCCCAAAAGACACCCCGGTGAACACAGTCGAACACCTTCTCCAAATTCAAGTTGACCTCACTCTAGCTCGGTGAACTGTAAAAACGACAACTCAAAATTGTTCACCATACTCAGATTTTTGCATTCACTGACAATAAAATTGCCAGTTGGAACTGAAATTGTCTGTTGTGAGCCACTTGAACTCACTTTCAGAAGTTCACAACAACTTCAAAGTAAAATCAACTTAATATATCAAATAAGATGAACTTTTCATCAGAAACTTCTGAAAGTGAGTTCAAGTGGCTCACAACAGACAGTTGCAGTTCCAACTGGCAATTTTATTGCCAGTGAATGCAAAAATCTTAGTAATGTGAACAATTTTGAGTTGTATTTTTTACAGTGCACTTTAACCGGGATTCCATAGATCCCTCTGTGGGTGGTGGGCCCACAGGAGGGCTGACTGATTTTTCACTGATGAGGCTGCGTATATTCCTTTGTTAGTTACCCCTGACTAGCTACACACTACTTTAATTACAGACAATGATTAATAATCAGCATTAATTAAATAAGAACTTATTTCCTCTCCCATTGGCCAAGGTGTTCATCAAAATGAATACAAGTGTTTATTAATCTAACAAACATAAAGATATCCAGTGTTTTAATTTAATTTGTGGACATTTCTTTTAGAGCAAATTATTACTAAAAACATTTTGGATTCAATCAGTAGAACAGAAAAAACGTAGAACATGTAGGCCTGTCACGATATTCAATAAATCAAATAATGGCGTAATTCAAATCAGCTCAACAATTTTTCTGGCCGCGATAAATGCCGTTTGCATGCTTGTTTGTTTTCCTCGTTTCTCGCCCTCTCTCTCAGGTCAGAGAGTCGCAAAGTGGTCATGGGGACATTAGCGGCCTAGCAGACTGAAAATACTCAAAAATACAAAATATATTTTAATAATAAAATAAACTTATGTTTACGTGAACACATACTGCTGTTATATAAAGTCCCTGGAAGGTCTCTGAACACAGACACGCTGCAGAGCTGCATTCTTGGAGAAGAACTTTACACAGTAACTCTGTTAGCATCAAAGTCCGCTAGGACTTCTGGTCTGAACACCACTGCGTCTGAAAATTAGAGAATGTGCGTCTGGTGCGCGAGGTGTCAGAGTTCCAGCGTCGGCGTCTGAACGCGCCATAACGATGAGTGAGCCCTCGTGTTAATCACTTGTCAGTCGCATGGTGTGTGGGGAGGCTCAATATGGCCTATTGAGGCATCTGTTTCATAACTTTGTTTACAAAGGTCCTGGTAGTTTTGTTCCAGTTCATATTCTGTTAACAGAGACTGAGAGTCTATTTCATTTATTGTTTTTGGTTGTTTGTTCATTTATTGTGTTCTAGTGTTAAATATTCTTCAAAAATAAAAGTTTATTTTTCTTTGAAAAGGTGTACCTGCATCATTATCATTGTATTAGATGAAAATGATCTCAGAACGACAATATTATCGCTTATCGCAATAATTTATGGGACTATTTTTGTCCAGCAAAATTTGTTATCATGACAGGCCTAAGAACATGCCATAGTAACAGATAGAAAGTAAAGCCTAGCGTACATCGACAGAGAAACTGGGGACAACTAGTTGCAAGGCGGCTTTTGGCAACTGAGAGGAGATGGTGGGAGATGATCAGTTGCCGAAATCGGTCGATGTGCGCGCTCTTACAACTGGAGATGATCAGTCGGTCTCCAGTTCCAGTCAGTTGCCCGTGTTCTACTTTTCGGCAACCAGTTGTCCTCTGTTGCTCCGATGTGCGCGCTCCATGCGCCGCTCCGACAACGTGTGTGTATTGCGTGTATAGCGCGCCCGCAACAGTTTATGTCAGAAAACACACTGTAGTTGAGGCCAGTTGCTGTCGATGTACGCGCTGTTATTCAAGAGACTGGCCTGCGACTCAGAGTTGCCCGTTTTCGCCAGATTGTCGATGTGTGCGGGGCAGCAACTCAGAGGCGACGGATATAATCAGTTGCCAGTCCGATGTACGCTAGGCTTAACAAGCCTTCATTGAATATGACTCCTGATTCATTTAAACAACCAACAGACCGGTTTGAGGTAAACATCTGTGAAGGGTCCAAGGGCCACCAAGAAATGTATATCAGGCTGGACTTTGCCCAGGTCTGGACTAGACAAAAAATAT